GTCTGCGTAGACTGACACATACATAACACAAGATTATCACAGTCACCTTTTGCTTTCGACCAAACGGGCCAAATGACCCAATAAATCATGATAAATTCACATATGGATCAAATATGGGCCTACGAGATAAGTTCTAGGTTTTGTTTTTTCTTGCAACAGACAGATTGTGTAGGCTTTGTTTGAAAGTTATGAGTCAGGTCGCTTTGAAGACATTCCCTCCTTTAATCGTATGAGATTTTATTATGTGGTTGTTCCAACTTTCATTATGTCAAATTAGATAATTCATATCGACACATACATATTAATACTATACATTATGTGAAAGCTGAGTCAGCTGAGTATGACTAGTAATCCAATCTTAATCTTACACTAATTACAATTTTTTCAGCTTTCTTTGCCAAAGTCGTTGATAAGTTAATGGGATATAACTGTTTATAACCGGGTCCACATATAATACAAGGACACGTATAGAGATCATTGCCGACGCTGTTATCTTACTCTTCTTTTATGTGATCCTATAACCAAAACAATAAAGTAAATTATAATTTTTCAGAAGATTTGATGACATGTTGAGAGAACATATATGAGACTGATCTACTACATGAATCCCAAAGTTTATATATTCATACAAACAAAACATCAAACTGGATATGCATATCATTGTGGCTCTATAGATATATATCCCTCAGGTAGATGTGGTACACCACTTGTTAAACCATAGAATGTACACAATATAATTTTCTACCTGCCCATCTCTTCGACAAATATGTCCATAGGACTCCATCCAGTATAACAAATCTTTTGTTTCAAACAAATTAAAGTTTGTCAAAGATTATCTCCAGGGACCCTTTTATTTTCACGCAAGTGTGTTTTTGGGAATATTCAACTCCATTTTTCTGCACTGAATAATAAGAGTGATTCAGAAAACATAGCACGAAAGTCATCCCAAACGGACCCACAATTTATAACATCCGTGTACCTAGGCATGACATATGGGTGACACATTGTATATGTGAGTGAACTGAACGTGTAAAAATGGTCACGTAAAATGGACAGTGAAGTCAATAATATTCGCTGGCAAAACCAAAAACAAAGTCAGTAATATTTATTGGATCCGTTGAAATTCTTGTACAAGGTGAACAAACGTAATCATTTTTGTTGAAAACCAAGATTATGAGAACATACCTACATGCATGGTCATATGCAAGAAAACGAATTTTGATCGTCCTGCTTATAAATGTTCATGTATGATTTTTATACCATTTTATCCAATTTGACATTATATTCGTGAATTTACAATTTATTAAATAATCAGTATAATTCTATTAATTTATTCATGTCAAACAAAATACAAATACTTTTATTATTATATTTCGCGACAATTTTTAGTGGGGAAATTAAAATATCTCAGTACTGTCATTCCATCGCTCAGTCCATAATTCATATTCCTATACAAGATAGAAAATGCCAAAAATGCCCCTCTAGTTAAAATAATACACTCACACACTAAGTCATATCGACTCAGTTCCGTCGACGCGGCGGCTCTTGCTCCGGTGTTTCCCATGACGGTGACGGTGAGGGATCCCACCGAACGTTACCGGATCATAGACCCTAAGTCGCTTAGCCTCCTCCTTGTTCACCACACATTCCGGCAAAGCCACCTTGTACCTCGTACGGTCATAACAATACGAATAAGTCATGTGTTTCCTCCGCAAACTGTCCATTTTCTTCCTCTGAGACTCTGTTATCTCCGACGTTAGCCGGAGATCCTCTTCCCCTCCGTCTTGGCAGCTCGGAACCTTCTCGATAGGGTCAACCGCGCAGCCGTGGAGGATCATATTTGTGAACTGAGCGACGTAAGGGGCAAATTTGTAATTTACACCGTACTTGCCACCGTTGGTAGCCCATTTGGAGCCATCCCATATGGTTGCGTATAAAGACATTGGCTTCGCCGGGAAGTCACCGCCCATTGACGCCGTGCGTTTGACCTCTCTGATCGGAATATTGTCTACATAAAATCTGCCATAAATTAAAGGGTTGCCTGCCTAAACCCACCCTTAAATACACTAACCCTACTTATTTCCCCCCAAACTATCAAGCTCTTCATAAATCCACCTAATCATATATTTTCTCTTTAAATATCCCCTAAACTTTTTTAATCCCCCTCTCTAATCAATTTCGAAATCAAAATAAGAGGATTAAAATTGCTTTTAGAAAAAAACTGATTGCCCAATTAAAAACAAAACCCACCCGACCCAAAATTAAAAAAAACCACACCCAACTCTCTATTTCTTCCTGACACAGAAACAACGACTCTTCCTCCCAACACAGAAACACAGACTGGAAAGATAAAGAGAGAGACAACTGGAGAGAGAGAGAGAGAGAGAGAGAGAGAGAGAGAGGCGATGGCTATTGTACATTCAGCTCTTTCACGAGCAGAAGAGCAGCGATCAACGCAGTTGAAGCTGCAAAGTAGGAGAATATAATTTACCTGGACATTACTAATTGCACTTCTCTTGCCGCCTATGTTTTATCCAAGGGTAATCATCAAAAAGATTCTCCTGTAAGCTTTCTCCTTACACACCATTCTTATTGTATTGTTTTAGATTTTGATAATTAAAAAGAGTTTGATTATCAAAAAGAGTTTGATTATATTGTTTTAGATGTGACAAAGAATGTCTCTTTTTATCATGGTTTCTCCTAAAAAATAACCGAAGCTCTATCTGTAAGTCTTGGTTCTTAGTTTATATGATTACTCTGTTCTGTATTTTGCTGTTATTAGGTCCAGACAGTCTATTTAAGGTGAAGCACAACGAAGAGCACTAAGATGTTGTGTCTTTACAGTAACTTCTTCTTTGTTCACTTGAGAGAGACAAAGATAGACTACAGGAGAGAGAGAAGAGAAACAAAAAAAAGAGAGCAGGAACGAGACATCATGGAGCTATGGCATGGGCCATAATGAGAAGATAAAGACGATGCATATGGGCAGTAATGGTCTTTAAAGGCGGTTTTTTTTTAATCGGGTGGGATTTTTTTTGTAATCTTGGTTCGGGTGGGTTTTGTTTTTAATTGGGCAATCAGTTTTTTCTAAACGCAATTTTAATTCCTCTAATTTTGATTTCGAAACTGATTAGAGAGGGGGATTAAAAAAGTTTATGGAGATATTTAAAGAGAAAATATATGATTAGGTGGGTTTATGAAGAACTTGATAGTTTGGGGAGGAATAAGTAGAATTAGTGTATCTAAGGGTGGGTTTAGGCAGACAACCCTAAATTAAAATATTAAGAGTCTGAATCCATAGCCTGAAAATTATCTTAAAAAAAATATGACATTTTTGGTTCAAAATTCCAGGTTTTTTAGTGGACTGAACTTGGATTCTCTTTTCCAAAAAAAACTCTGCATGGGTCTTTATTGTTGCCAGAATCAAAAGCTGTAAAGCACATAACTTCCCAGAAGAAGAAGCCAAACTCCACTTGCTATAAGTATAAAGTTGAATGAAACAAAAATAATAATTCATCACATAATAAAACCCATTTGGCTTTCTTTTAATAGAAACATCAAGTGACTGTTTGACAGTCTGATACATCATTAAAAGACACATAAAAGAGCCCAAAACATCAAGTGACTTGGTTAAACTTTTCTAAGCTGAACTAAGACTTAAGAGGATGATTAAAAAGGGTTTTGTTTATAAAACTTACATGATGTGAGAAAGAGACCAGAGGATACTGTATTGATGGAAATCCTCTGTTGGGTCGAACCAAAGATTGTATCTTTCTTCTCTGCCCAAATGCGTGCTTCCATTGCCATATATGTTGGTCTGAATCCTCCATTCTTTGCCTCTGATGTTCCCCAAAAACTCAAAATCAATCTCGTCATGATTCTTCTCATATATGTCTCCATTTGACAGCTGATAATAAGACAGATGCATAGAAAAAAAAAGAATTAAAATAGTGATAAAATGTTTTCAAGAGAATAATCTTTAATTGGTTAGTAAAAATTCAAGATTAGATTAATGCTTACATAAAAGGCGATAACAACTCCTGCAGAGTAATCTGCTGGCAACTTGATAGAAGAACTGAAGAACCCATGTAGGTAAATATCATTTGAGACAAAGCCAGAGCCTGTAAATATGATTACAGAGCAACATATCAATAAGTAAAAAACAAATTATTAAAAAATAAAAATAAAAACTCAAGAAGGACCAAGAACACAAACCGGTTCTCTCATCAAGTATTAACCGGACAGATTTTCCGTCTCTGTGAACAATCAGATTCTGGTCACCAAATAGATGTGTGTAACCTTCTTCGAACTGTATAAGAGGAAGCTTTTGCAGAGCAAATCCAGATACTAAACCGGTGAAGAGTGACATGAAAACTAAAAATTGAGCGAGAGATTCCATTCTTGTTGAACTGTGTATGGTATTACGGGAGAAAAGAGAAGAGATATATAAATGGATAACTAAGCGTGTTGAAGACGAGCTATGGAGGTGTGTTGAGAAAGAGAAGAGAGAAATAGCATGCATACCAAGATATCGACTGCAGAGTA